TCTTCGCCTATGAGTATTCCCAGACTCGAGCTGCTTGCCGCACTAATCCTGGCCCGTTTGATCTCTACCGTACAAGAAGCCTTAGCCCAGGTATTGAACACCAAAGAAGTCTTTTGTTGGACCGACAGTATTACAGTGTTCTACTGGATACAGTCCAACAAAGAATACAAGCAGTTTGTGCAGAACCGCATAGACGAGATCCACAAGTTGACCGATGCGAAGAGCTGGCGTCATTGTCCTGGAGTTGAAAATCCTGCTGACGTTGGCTCCAGAGGGTGTCTCGCATCTGAGCTCGTGGATAACCGCCTGTGGTGGGAGGGCCCCGCCTGGTTAAAGGGCCCACCGAAGAACTACCCGGCCTCTGAAGTCTCAAAAGAAGAAGATCTGACAGAAGAATGCAGGACGGAATTTAAAGCAAAGGAACAAAAACCTTCGAATGTGACTACCATGGTTAACCTGACCACAGAGCCTAGCAATCCTGTAAAGCTGGCTGAAATCATCGACTGCGAACGTTTCAGCGATGCCACTAAACTATTCAGAGTAACAGCTCTCAGCCTGAAGTTCATCAGAAATCTGAAGTCAGCAAAGACCGAGAGAAGAGAAGCACAAAGTAAACAGACCACCCTTACAGCTGAAGAAATCAGTGAAGGAAAGTACTTTGGATCCGTGAAGTTCAAAAGCCCTTTGAAAAGAGAGGAACTTCGAGAACCTTAAACAGCAGCTTGGGCTGTTCAGACATGAAGATACCATTCTGAAGTGCAAAGGCAGACTTGGAAACGCCCCGTTGAGTGCCGAAACCCGTTACCCCTCACTATTACCGAGGCGGCATCACGTGACAAGACTGATTGTGGAAGCCTGCCACCGGAAGACCAATCACGGAGGAGTGAAGGAAACTTTAGTCGAAGTAAGGACAAACTTCTGGATTCCAAAGGGGAGGCAGTACGTAAAGAGGATCCTGCATCAATGCGTTATTTGTAAGAAAAGAGAGGGAGTGCCGTACAGACCACCACCGACCGCTGATCTACCTGAATCAAGAGTCTCCGGAAGCCCGGCCTTCACCCATGTGGGAGTGGATTTCGCCGGCCCTGTGTACGTGAAAAGCACCAGCGGCATTACTAAACAGATGAAGAAAGCGTACATCTGCCTATTCACCTGTGCAACCTCGAGAGCCTTACACCTAGAACTGACACCAGACCTCTCAACGGAAGCGTTCGTCAGATGCTTGCGGAGGTTCATAGCCAGACGTGGGAGACCAGCCTCCATAACAAGCGACAACGCGAAGACCTTCAAGCGAGCCAACAAGGAGCTAGGACAACTACTTCAGAACAAGAGAACGCAAGATTTTGCCGCCAACCAAGGGATCACTTGGAAGTTTATTCTAGAAAAAGCGCCATGGTGGGGAGGCTACTATGAGCGTATGGTACAACTAGTAAAAAGAAGCCTTCGCAAAGTTCTCGGAAAGGCGCAGCTGTCCTTTGAAGAGCTACTTACAGTCTTAACAGAAGTGGAGGGAGTACTAAACTCACGTCCCCTCACATATGTCTACTCAGACATCACAGATCAAGAACCCCTTACACCATCGCACCTGGTCATTGGAAGACGACTTGCCACACTACCAAACCCCGCCGAGCTAAGCGATAATGAAGAAACCGCCTCCAGCCTTGAAAGGAGAGCGCGTTACCTCAGCAGACTACTAGAACACTTCTGGAAACGATGGTCTAACGAGTACCTTGTTGGACTGAGAGAATTTCATTATTGCGGAACCAGAGGAAATCAGAACAAAGAAGTCAAGGTTGGAGACGTCGTTCTGATCCACGACGACAGTCTAGCGAGGTGCAAGTGGAGATTAGGAGAAATCACCGAGCTGATCGAGAGCAAAGATGGACACAAACGAGGTGCTGTGTTGCGAGCCATCAGCAAGAAGGGAAAGCCCTCAACGATGCGGAGAGCAGTTCAGAAACTTGTCCCACTGGAAGTGAACACCGGAAACCTGCCTCAAAACGAACACGTCGGAACCGAGGAAGCTGGAATTGTCCAGCAGCCTGACCATCCAGCTGAACTTGTGAGACCACCGAGACGAGCAGCAGCAGCTACTGCAGACAAGATCAGGAGACTTCTTGACCAACAGTGAGCAGTTGGTCAAGGGGGGAGTGTCAAGAAATCGAGCCTATGAACAATGAACACTGAACTGAGACTAATAGAACAATAGAAATAGCGGAAATAGCCTAGGAAAATGAACACTTGAAACCGCACAGAGATTTGTTGTTCTGACTAATTTAGAATTTAGATGTTATCTGATCTACGTGACCGGGCGTAGTGTTACATAGCAGAACTTTGATTGTAGTCTTGAGTACGGATAGTGTTTATTGAGAGAACCGACTAGTTTTTTGAGCTTTACCGCCTTTAGAACATCAAGCCTTGTTACACAGAAGGATTCAGCCAATAAAATTCTTTACAGTTCTTATATGTGGTTAATTTTTACAGTTAAATTATGATAAGCAATTTAACAAAGGGGCATAACTTTGAGTTGTAAATTTAAGTACAACAAAAACATCCTGTACTAAACTGTATGATATTCGGTAATAAGTTTTGTTAGGGTTATCATAATTGTGAATATACAGAAAATTTACTTATTTTTTCATTATCAACAATCTATTATGTCCTTCATAAAAAAGTCAAAAAATACTTGTAAGAACCTAATTAAAAACCTACCTAGCCTAGATTGCCAAGAAGTACCCCAAGAACAAGAACCTACTTCAAAAAAGGGACCTTCTTATCAGCGGGCGTTTCCGGTACCATAAAATAACAACTGAAAACAACCATATTCACACCCCATTTAACCATAGCCTGCGAAACGCAGACGTATTTCAGGTCGTCGCTTCGCTCCCTCCGAAAAACCGGACAGACATACGCATTTCGCAGGCTAATTTTACCAAGATGCCATCAGCTACAGCAAAATTTGTGCAATATGTTTAGCTCAAAATCATTTGTCAAAACCGTACCCTTGCAGCTCTTTAGAACCTCTCATTTGTTTGGATTCCTATATGTCGCAGCTCTTTTGTTTTCAGGCAAAGTTCCATTGTTACTTTGTTTGTTCATTGTTTTCCCAGCCAATCCCTAAGAGGTTGCCCAGTATACACTAGACCATGTGGTCCGTGGCTCGTCCCCAGACCTTTAGGAAGAGGGCAACACCACATCTCCCTTAATTCCCTACCATGAGCAAGCCAGGCAACATCTTCTCTCCCCGACATTAGATGAAAGATTATAGTTTAAATGAATTTGAGTTAATATCCTGTACTTTTTAATAGTTTTTACATATGTTTTAACTTTTTAATGTCTTTGCGAATTAGGAGTATTTTGTATTTTTTTTTTAAATTTTATGAGATCCTTTTTGAAAACCATATTTTATATGAAAAAGTAATCTCAATGAAGATTATTATTAGATTATTATTAATTTGAACAGAGAAGGGTAATAAGAGGTAAAAAATATATTAAGAAGGTAACTATTTTTATGCAAGACACACAAAAAACTCATTATCGGACTGACTTAATAATACCTAAAGAATAACTTTGTAACGTAGGGTAAATTTTACTTGACAATAGCGGCCATTGTCGCATCATTTCAGGTTTCATGCAATACTATTTGGTGTGAATTTTAACTTGTACAGTGTACAAGAAATGGAGCATATAAAAAAGTCTTAGTTATCAAAGATTATCATAATAATACCGATCGAGAAAGTCGACAGGTTCACAGTTCAATGCACAGAAAGTTGTTAAGTGAGCTTTGAAATCAAAAAATTAAACTTGAAGCAATAGATGAAACAAATACAATGAAACCTCTATTCAGGGGACACCCTCACGACCAAAGCAAGTGTCCCTTGAAAAGAGGTTCCCCCTGATTAGAGGTTAGGATGGGGTTTGTTAATAATTAACCAACAAAGACAGCGTAAAAGAATCATCATTACGGACTTTAAGATGCCACGGATGAAGATGATCAATTGTACTGTTTGCTCAAATAAACCAACATGGATGAGGTTGTTAGCATATATATACTGCATGGGTTAATGGTTCAACAAAATCTTGATTCCTTTCTCAAGTCTAAAATACAATTTATTAAAACCTACAAAATTTTCTTAAGTTGAATTAATATCAGTGCAGTGGGTGGTGGCACTTTGAGATTTAAAGAGATATCTTGTTTTTAGGCAACTGTCCTTGTGAACATGACTTGTGATTGGCTGATTGTTATTGGGTGCAGCGCTTTGGTTGAGTTCATTGCACTTTACAACAATACTGTACTACAGCTGTACTGTAAACAAGCTATCCTGCGCTGTAGACACTTTAAACCGTCTTTAAACCAACTATATCTATACTGTACACAATACGTGCACTGCAGGCTATAAACAAGCCAGATGATATAAAAAGCAGCATTATCTGTCAGCTCTAGTTCACCACTTCTCCTAGCTACTTACAATAAACGCACTAATATGATCAAAGAAAGTCCTTTGCAATTTCTTCTGACTCTAAAACCTGTACATGAAACAACATGCTCTACAAGTATGTTTAAACAATAAACTGCTTTCTTTTGAAAAATAAACTTAAAGTCAAAATATATTATATTACATGTTATATCCCAAAAGGTCTCACCCAACCCAGTACTAATCCCGCCTGACACAGCTTAACTTCACCGAACAAACAGGGCAAGGGAACTGTGAGAATGTTATGAACCAAAACCAAAATTAAATACCCATGAATGATGTAGCAAAAATAACATAGGCTGCTGACTTTGGGGACCTCAATATAAAATAATATTTCAGATCCCAATAACTAAAAGAGTTAATTTTCATACTGGTACTGTATAAAAAAGAGAAATTACAAAGTCATACGGTGGCTTAGAAAGAGATAATAGCAAGCCAAGAAGAGGAAGTTTCTTGAACTACTTTTGAACTAGCAGTATACATGCAGTTTGTTTTTGTAACTGCTATTTCAATTTCAACCTCAAAAACCCAAGGAAAGCTTACACAGTATCAGCACCACAGGAAGAAAAACAATCAAAAAATCTTACATCCTGTGGACCAAAAACAACATGGAAAGGTAATTCAACGAAGAGGAGGAGCAAAAAATAAATTATTAGAAAAAGGGATGGAAACACCATCATCACTTGTCATCGATCTACTGACAAGCATAAGCAACTGTTATTACTGCAGGAAAATACACAAAGAAGGCTGTCAGTCAAGTCCCTGACAACAGAAGTTATTATTTCTTTCCCATGTACCTCCCAACCTAGATCTCTCCATCCGGTCCATCTCTGTCTTCTCTGGGCTACTGGGTTAGTAGGGTTTAAATGCAATCTTTTGCATAACTTATTCCAGTTTGATAATAGCATGCAATACATACATGTACATTTTGTATTATTTGCTGTATGCTGGAATTGGTTCTTGGTCTCTAAATAATTAGTTATGGAAAATGGAGAAATCTCTCATGAACTCATCTTACCAGCAGCAGCCAGAGGTGGATCCAGAAAATTCAGAAAAGGGTGGCTGGGACACTTACCCACTTGCCAGGTGTGTAGAAACGTTTAATTATTCCGAGAGTTCTATAAAAATGATACAAAATAATTTCAAGGAAAAAAGGCCCCCTTTGGCCCACCCCTAAATCCGCCCTTACTGTTGCTTAATGTTACAGCTCCTTTGTTACTGAGAAGAAGCTGATAGGTGCCTGAATCAGGGTGAGATGAAAATTAAAACTCATTGCCCTTTGGGCAAACTGTTGCTGAAGTTTAGCAGCCATGGTACAGCATTCATGCTGGTCAACCAACCCCTTCTCTGTAGCATTTCAGATTACTCTTTATCTTGGCAAATGCTGCTTACTCAATTGACACCTCATGAGTTGCTTCACTAGCCCTGGGCTATCAGATAGTACTTTTGTTGCACTCTGTTAATGCTGTGCCAAATTGGTGACAGAGTGTTGAAAAAATTTGTGAAAAATTGTGTTTTGATGAATTTGTACTTTAAAAACTACGAAATCTGTAGATTAAATAAAAATACAAAATACACTGTATGCCATTGGCCAATGTAATTAATCCATAAGGTTAAGTCACAACAATTATTTAAAACATCTACAAAACAAACTGAATGTTCAATGTGTCTGCTACTCAGCTTTTGAAACATCATGTACAATTCTTTCTAACTTTCTAAACTTGTTGTAAATTGCTATACCATAAATTTTCAATTAATCTATTAAAATCTCATTCTAGAAAAATCACGTAAATTGACAACACTGTACCCTCCTAAATGTAAATTTCTGACTCCCTTTAAAATAAATGGCAAAACAAAAGGAACAAAATATTTTCAGCAATCTGTTCAAGATGCAAGAATAATTCAAGCTGAAAATAATAATACTAGCCTCACTGAGTTTTCAAATAACAAAATATTCATGATTTTTCATGTCTTCATTAACGATGAAAGTTTCATTTTTATTTGCACTTACACTGTAGGTGTAAAAAGTACCGCTTAACAACACAGGAACATTTTCGTAATAACCGGTAGTTTCACTATATACAAATTTATGTACGTGGATTTTTCCATATGTCATGACACTGTGCCCCTTCAGATCAAAATAGAGAGCTGTAGCAACAACAACTGCAACAGCAATAAAGACATCAAAAAAGCAAAATACATTAATTTTATACTTCTCCTAGGCCAAACAAGAAGACACACTTTTTTGACATCACTGCATAAAAGCCGCATAAAATTCCCTCTGTTAGTGGACTTTTTATGGAGGACGTAAACACACAAAAAATGGATTTCTCTTTCTCCTACTAAACTACAGTCGTACCTCTCGGCACGGACACCTCTCCTATGTTACGGACAGTTTCCAATGTCCTGACAAAATTCTCCTATATTGACCTTAAAAATATACTTCTATAATATGGACTCTCTCTAATACGGACAACGGACACTAAATTTTGGCCCCAGAGAGTAAATTCAATAAACTTAACCTCTTTATTACGGACGCTCTAGTAATCAGGTGAATTCCGAATCTCGATCAGGTGAATTTGCATGGGTAGATCCCATCTAGTCTGGCTGATGAGCTATGCAAGGTGACTTCAAAAGCCAAGTTGCTGTATACCAAACAACTTTTTGAAGGCTTCAATAACTACAGATACCATGAAGATCTTTTCCATTACATTTTGTACTCTAGTTACTGTTTACTACTTGCAAAATAGCGAAAGGCACTTTCAGAATTGTGCTTTACGTTACAACTTTTTACATCCAGCATTGTGCTGTAGCTCTTTTGATCTTAAAACAGTGATATGTCTACGACTGTATACGTATGTAGAGCTCTGATATGTACAATTTTGTACGCTACTGAAAGACAGTGTCTTAGTACTGTGAATTAATAAACTTCAGTGAGCTTCAATGCAGTTTCAAGACAAGTGTAAGCCTGGTTTTAGCTAGTGAACACTTAAAACTGTAAGTGGAGTCACAAAAGTGATGTCATCGTAGTGACTTCTTTTGTATGGACACCTCTCTAATTCGGACACTTTCCCCGCTCTGTCCCTTCGGTGTCCGTATTAGAGAGGTGCAACTGTAATGGGTTCGATTCCAAGAAATCAATTTCAAGAAACTTAACCTACTCTCTGACATTTAAAGCAACTGAGTTGAAATAATATTGCAAAGAAAGTTTAAAACCTACTTCTACCACAAAACATCTTAAAAACAAGGGTTATTTGTTGCCTGACTCACAACTTACAGTTGACTGTGATTGAGTAAACTGTAATGTGTAGTTCCAGAAAACATCCATAATACCCCCCCCGACCAACCCCACCCCTTTGCAGGGCACTTTTACTTTAGACCACCCACACCCCTATAATTTCCATTCTAGGGGATGCTTGTCATACACACCACGCCACAGAATTTTCTGTTATCTAACTTAGTTGAGACCCCCCCTGAAGAGAATATTTATTTCATCAAAAATGCTGTTGCACTATACTTTTAATGTGAAAGATAATTGCATGTTTTCTGTGATAAAGAGAGGAAAAATCTTTTTATTCATCTTAAAACAGTGTCTAATGTTCTCAGTTTTGCCTTGCATGTAAAGGTCTTTCTTTGTTCATTACTAACAGTGAGTAGAGGTGTATGTCACAGAGAACCAAGGACACAATACCTTATGAGAGACATAATAAACTGGACAAAACTGTTCTGGATTGACGTTTTATCATACAACAATAAAACAAGCCATTATAAGGACCCTTAATGATATTTTTGTCCTTTAAAACAATAGTAAATTCCACATGTAATGGAATAATATTTTCATGTTGATCACACAAGAAGGAATTGCGTTACGGCGTATCAAACCTTGGTAACAAAATCACCAAGGTACACAAAATCATGTAATTTTTAAGAAAAACAAATCACAAGTTTTTCGATGAAAAAGAAGCGTTGTCATGTTAGAATGTTGTCTCCAAATAAATCTTGCTGCAAAGATAACTTGGATCGAGTCATTTACGTGCAGCAGCATAATTATCCTTTGATAAATCAGCAGTTAAGAGAGTCAAAAAAGATTCAAGCTGCGATACATATATACATGTATATGCTACCACTGAAGGGCCACGAGGCAAATCCACAGAGTTGTTTGAATCAACCTGTTGTGCAACACAACGTGAGACTAAATGGCAAGCCCCTGAGAGAAAAGCCAAGAAATATAGTCCAGCAACTATTAGAGAGGCCCACATAGCAGTGTCAGAAGTTCTTGGCCGACTCTGCTTTAACACAGCAGCATTTCGTGGCTGCTAGCATGGAACAGAGCGTCAGCAACAGGCTGCCATCTTCAAAACAGATGGAAGACCGACCTAGTGGCAAGAAGAGTTTTAAGATGACGCAAGTCTGAAGAAAGGGCTATATTTGAGTGGTCAAATAAGTTGTAGACTGTCCTTAAGTTTTCCTTGTGCTTTCCCGTTGAATGCTTTTTGAAACATCCACAAAAACGTCACGATATTCTTAACACAATAACCCGTCATTTTTTTATTCATTTTTTTTTCTTAAAAACAATGTGATTTTTGCATCCCTTTGTGATTTTGTTACTGTGTTTGGATACGCTGTAATGCAAGTCCTCCTTGCACAATCAAATTTTCCAATGTGTGGAATTTGATAAACTTCAAAAGAGGAAAATATAATTGAGGTTTCTTGGCTTGTTATATTTTTGTATAATGTAACATCAATCCAGAACAGTTTTGCCCAGTGTACTATGAGAGCATCTATGAAAGAACCAGTAAACAGTTAAGAACAACTTAAAAGAAGGCTAATAGAATATGACCATAACACAGTGAATACCACAATCATATTGTGAAATATAAAGCAATGAGCTGGATGACCAGCATTATTCATGAGCCGATATGACATTCATATTAGATATATGTAGACTATATCATACAGGTAAGCTGTAAAAAAAGTATTCAGCTATAACTGTTAATGTAAGATCATCAATAAAAACAATAATTCTTGTTTCATTCAAAGTCCCTGGAAAAAAGACCTTGAGAATCTGACCCCACCCCCTTGGAAATTGCCTCCTCTTGGACCCCCTTCCCACTGGAATTTCTGATGCGCTCCGTGGGGGGAAGTATATAAACCACATCCTGGTGTGGAGGGTAACAGTTTCCATTTTCTCATAAACCTATGCAGGTATACATGTAATAGCTCCTGAAGTCACTGCAAGTTTTTCCTTAAACTTTTTAAACAGTTTTAATATTGTTGTTAAATGTACATCTATTTTCTGCTGACACTAAACATGAAAGGCACTTTAAAATAACCTCAGTGAATTGGTAATGATCAAATGTAAACACAGCACTGGTTTATTCATTAAAAGTTCTTACATGAATCAAGTGAACTCACTCACTTCAATTCCTCATGAACCTATTGTTGTGGTGCATAAAGCTACCATGGTGGCCAATCATTTACATAAAACTGGTGAATGAGGTACAGTAACACCAGAAAATAAGAAACTACTTTTTTTGAAGTCTGGCAAAATAGGTTCTTGTATTTTGGGGTACTTAATGGCAATTTAGGCTATGTAGGTTCTTGATTAGGTTCTTAGTTTTTACGTATGAAGGAGATAGATTGTTGATTTAAAATCACAAAAATAAATTTTAAACTTTTTAAAGTTATTCATAATAATTGTATTATGTCATAGAGTGGTTTTCATTTGAGTGTCGAAAAGTAATTGGTTTTGCACTTTCTACACGATGCGATTGGCTTAAAAGATTCGCGCCACCTTTTCATCCCATCAGAAGTAAAACCAAAGCCAATTGTGATGCGCTCGCATGCATTTTCCCGCGCTTTGCGTCAACCACATGTAATTACTTCGAGTTTTGATTGGTTCAATGTATTGTCTGTGTCCTATGTGATTGGCCAGAGTAAATTACTTTGGTTTTGGTTTTATGACACTCAAACGAAAACCACTCTATTACCCTAACAAAACTGATGACCAAATTTCTTGTTAGTCTCAATTGCAGATTCAGAATCTGTAAGCCATGTTTTGTTCCTTGTAATTAGTCCACAAAAGAGAAGACATGGTCCCTCCAGGGTTGAACATAGAAAGACCATGGAAACTGGGGATATAACGAATTGCGGCATGACTCAGGAGCTCGCCACCATTGATTTGTGAAGAAAGCTTCGGAAAACTTAATGCAAAAGATTTAGAGCTTTTCCGGAATAGGTTGGTCCACGAATTCTATTGCTTAAAAGTGGTGATTACTTTGGAAAAAGTCTGGTCGAGTAAAAGAAGAATCTTAATGAGCAAAACTTTGATCAATGGGGCAGATGGTGAGGCTAACTGGTCGTGTGTTGTAAACTTTCATTGTTTCATTTTCAGCGATGACGGAAATGACATGCCATGTTCATCACTTTTTTTGCTCTCTGGCAATGGTGTAATTTCTCTCATACTCGAATCTAGGCCCTTAATTTTTGTGTATTTATGCACATGTATTCAATCAATTCAGAGACAAATTGTCAAATACCATATATAAAATAAAATATCTTGAAGAATACTTGACAGTCAATAAAGTAGGAAGTCAAAAACTTGTCACGAGAAAATCCTGCTTCATGTAGATGTAATTGCCTCCTCATTTCTTAAGCAAGCGAGACTTATGAATATACTTTAAAAATAACTCATAGGTACCCCCCTTTTTACAACTGATAGTTACCCCCCTTTTTTAATTTGTTTATCATAATTTAAGCTTAACTTGCTATGATGATCTTCCTTGGCTAAACTTGCTTCACGATATCATGTTTGAATCCCGCAGTCGCAAGGACATATGTGAGCATTTTTGATTGGCCAGTTTGTTACACAGTTTAATGTGATTAGTCTAATTTGAATTAAGCATTGACAGGCCAAACACGACTAATTTATATAATGTAATTATAGCTTGTGAGAAGGGAGATTGAGCTTTTGATAGTGCAATTAACATGACCGAAGAGTCAGCTTGAACAACAGTGGTTTTTCTTGCTCTCTTTTTGCGTAATTTATGCAGTGCATGGAGTATTCTACACTGATCAAAGTTTATTTTACCACTACGAGTGTCACATTTAGAGGTTGAGGAAGCTGATCTGTTCTATGCATATTGAGCAATTAGTTCCTATGGTTTATGTTTCTGCAGATGTTTTCTGACAGGATTTGATCACAAATGCAGTTTACCACGAAATGATTTTCTTTTACCTCTGTTTAATACGGTAGCCCACAGGGGACATGCTGCAAATAAAAAAGTTGCTGCAAAACAAATAAACTTGCTGCAAATAAAAAATAATTGAAGCAAATAAAAAAAATATCTGCTGCAAATAAAAGCGGTTGTTGCAAATTAAGTGACAGGAAATTATGCGCACGCACTGATGGGAAGAGGAGGACTCAGTATAGATGTATCCAGGGCCCACTCACAAAATGCTTGACCTAATCCTCAGTGACAGGAACCTTATTTGAGTTCAATGGAAACAATTATCGTCAAACCCATGCAGTTGCATTAGGCATAAAAACGGCAGTGTCCTTTGCAAATATCTACAAGGCGGAGACTGAAACAAACCTAATCCAACATAGAAATACCAATGGAAATGTTTCATTGGTGACGTTTCCTTTCTTTGGGACTGTAACAGAAAAGACCCAACTTTTTCTTAAAAAAAACTAAAAAATCCCATCCCATAAATTAAGTCCACAGCCGAAATAGGAAATAACGAAATAACTTTCCTTGATACAACAGTTTTCAAAGAAGAACATCTCACAGAGAAATCCATCTTCATTGGACATCAAATCCCACTATAACCCGACTGAAACCTTTCAATATGTACACCTTACCTAGTTCCACCTACGAGGGTAAAAAGAAGTTTCATTAAAGGCAAAGAAATAAGATTGATTAGAAAAAACTCCTCAAAAAAAACATTTGAAGAGTGCCTTGCGAACTCAAAGCACACAAAATCCTAAACTGGATATAGAAAAGTCATTGTCAGGGGCCAACCTTGACTTGAGACACTGATAGGGGCTAAAACAAAAACAAAAAAAATAAAGAGAAACTATTGCCTTTCATTACAACATATAACCCAATGGTACAAGACCTTAAAAAGACGTTGATGGCAAACTGCAGTCTACAGGCCTAATAAAAAATCAGCCTCTGCAGTGCTGAAAACAGTTTAAGACCTCCCATCATATCCTACAAAAGACATGTTTGAGTGCAAAAATGTAACTTGAAGGCAGTTGATAATTCAACGCAACCACAAAAACCACATTGGGAGTCCTTGGAGGTCTGCCTTTAACTTCCTTACAACTATACTGAGTCCTCCTCTTCCCATCAATGTGTGCGCATACTTTCCTGTCACTTAATTTGCCGCAACTGCTTTTATTCGCAGCAACTATTTTTATTATTTGCTACAATTATTTTTTATTTGCAGCAACTTTATTTAACTTGAAGCAACTTTATTTTATTTGCTGCAACTTTATTTAATTTGCAGCAACTTTATTTTATTTGCAGCAATTTTATTTAATTTGCAGCAACTTTTTTATTTGCAGCATGTCCCCTGTGGGCCACCGTAGTATGTTTAAGCCTTACGCTTTTTTCTTGTGGCTAAATAACCTTAGTTTCTTTGGTTTCTCTAAAATGCCTGGACCTGGATAGCCACATGTAGTAGGTTTTATTTTTGGCTGTGAAGATAATGATTTCCTGAATTTTTTTTTTGGATGCTAGAAGCCTAGAACTGTCGGCTAGATTGCAGAATACGCAACAGTGCATCATGCAGTGATTGGAAGATGCTGGAAAACCAGTGGGCAAATTTATACAAGCAAATTCTTATAAAAAATTAAGGAATTCTCTCAAAGTATTTTTTTGTGCAGAAGAAGGCTTTAAAGTTTGAACTGCTCTTTTATTATTTGCTGTAAACTGCAAACGATCATCGCCAACTCCCTTCTGTGAATTTTGACATGCGCACGTGAAGAATTAGGCCAATCATGAGGGCATAACATTAACGTTAACCCGCAAGAAACCTACCTATCACAAACACTCACATATGTCTTTGCGACGCTGCAGGATGTTAGAATGAACTTTTATGCACTTGTTCGCAAATGGACTATACAAATGGTTTAGAAGAGTGTGTGGGCTGGCTGCAACATAGGCTAGGCTAAACAGGTTCTTGTATTTTTGCAAGGGTATTAAAGTGGCAAATTTCTGCCAGAAGGTTCTTAATCCACAGGTTCTTATTGGTGGGTGTTTACTGTATTTAAATGTTTAATGAAGAACAAAGCAAATAAAATAATAAATGGATATGTTGTAGTTAAGTTTTTATCTCAGGTAATTTTTATTTTTCTTTTGTTTGAACTTCATTAGCATACATTACCATACCCAAAAACAAAAGAAAAACAAAAAAATTACATGAGGTAGAAAATTACAACAGATACATTAAGGTGACTGCATAAACACATAAATAAGCTATACAATTTTTTAAATAAAAAGGGTTTAATATAAATAATTGTTAAATTGTACATGTATAGTTAAAACCCTATCACTCCCAGAGTCAATTATGGAACCACAACATTTAGTTCTTACTCTTGAGCCCCTGGACGAAACCCCTTTATCAGTACTCTCACATGGTACTATTTGTTTTCAGTATTAGACGAAATGAAATTTCGACTTCTTCGTTAATAACGTTTTGATTTTGTCAGTGCACTTTTGGAAGTGAAGAGTAAAAACATCAATAACTTTACATACCATGTCATCTCCCGCTGTATTGATGGCAATAAGGCAGTAATTGTTATCCCCCTCACGAGACCAAAGTTGAAGCTCTCCTGCCTCATCCTTATCCTTACTCCCCCATGACACGCTTCCATGTGCCACACAAATCTGTGTAAAGCCCAACTGACTGAGATAACTGGGCCAGTCGGCCATTTTGTTTATTGGAAGAGCACCTCGTCCCCAGGCTCTCATCCTATGAAAATCGCACCTGCCGCAAGGACTTATGGGCTGCATTTGTGCTCTGAAGTGTTTTTTATTTTCTTTCGTTTGTTTTATTTGAGGCTCTCAATGGGGTTAACCGATAGGCGTAAAACGGCCAAAAATTTAGCCAATAGCCGTAAAAATTAAAAAAATTTAACCCTTAGCCGTAAATAGCGTAAAAAAAAGTTCACCGTAAAAGAAAGTGTTCCCGAGATTTGCTACTTTTAAGGAAGGTACTAAACTCACTTATGGTTGCGTTTTTTTATTTCCCGGCTAGTGTGACTCCGTACGCACGTTAGGCGAAGCGCCTTTTAGGTGTTAACCAAGACCTAGGCTCCATTTCTGACGCTTTCTTGGGGAACTAATTTTTTCCATAGCAAAAGTGTGGCTTCTTGCTGGGGATTAATATTTGCAATTTTCAGGAGGCCGTGCCCTCAAAACAGTAGCGAAACAACACGCAGAGATGTCACTGTTTGTAAAACACGTTGCCGATAAACAACATTTCCCTGTTTTTCTCGGACGCTACGGTAGACATCGCCATGCCTAGTCCCTGTTCGGCGTCTTCTGACGCAATCTCAGTCAAGGCATTTCAGTGGCGAACTCGCACGGACCACATGACCCGAAAGGCATCAGCCGCGCGGAATAATGCGGCCTACGAACAAGGGAACGGCAAGACAGTCCTTCCGTACAGTCCTTCGCTATCATTAGAAACACTGGACACGGGAATTTTGTTGTTGGCCGTTTTCACACTAGACCTAGAAATGGATCATCCGTCTGAGACTAGCCTGTGTACAGTCGCGCCCTTCCCACAGACACCCCTTCTCCGATTTTTTTCTGAGGGGAGGGGGTGGCTGTACACAGGCTATCTGGAACGGATAATCCTGTCTTCAAAAGTCAGGCGGATTGTTTATTCAAAATTAAAACTATTCCATTGCCAAATTAAGACGTATCACCTATCTGACGCGAATCATCAAATGGATGACCCGTCTCACACGAATAATCCTTCTCTAGTGTGAAAACGGCCATTTCGGTTATAATGAATGTCGCGCCCCGGCCTTGAGTTGGGCGTTCGCGTGTCTGCTTTTGCTTTTTCTTAACGATTATTTTTAAATTGACTATTGT